ACTCAAGCACACAACATTTGAGGCAAGAGCAATGCTATCTAATTTAATACAAAAAATACATTTAAGTAGTAACACATAAGTATATAAATACAATTTTACAAAGATCTCATGTTTGATCATTAGCGCAGGTGTTCAAACTTGGACTTTATAGGGTTTTTAACAATGAATGCTAAAAACGAATGGGATATTGCATGTTGGGTAACTTCTATTATTTTTTTTACTCTATAATGCAGTGTTAATCACCACACATCACTAATATCAATGTTGCTTTTAAAAATATTATCATTCTTATATAGTGTTATGCTAATGGTTTTCTATTGGTTTCCCAAAATGTAAAATCTAAACTGCAATGCGATAAAAACTAACATTTACTTTATTCCATTTCCTCCACCAGATTTTTTTAATATTTTTAAAATTTGAAATGTATGAGCCAATCAACATTGTGTAACCCCAAGCACACAAAAGCCTTCATTGAATTAGTACATACTCCTTATAAAAAAAATGAATCCAGGACAAAAGCCTTCGATTTAATTTTGCATGAACTACAAATTTTCATTAGAAATTGACTGTGGAGAGACAAATTACTGGGTTGGTGCCTACCACAAAAAAACTGTAGGAAGTCTAGTACTCACACGAACATGCATACACACATATATATCTCGGTGGGATTCTTGCTAGCAAGTTCAAAACTTAAGTGAAAGAGAGGGAGGTAGAAGGTATGGGTGGTGGTGTTTTGCAATGAGGTTTCTAGTATTTATAGGGAAATATGACCAATCCTTCCTGAAGAAGGTTCACGTGTCCCAAGGGACATGATAGCTGAATTGTGAACTCATATATTTTTCTATTTTTTTCAGATTTAATACTTCTTATTTTTATGGAGATGTGTGTACGCATGCTTGAAGATAGGCTGGTGGGATTTGACACGTACTGCTTTTAATGCTACTCCTTACGGAAGTGTTAAAGATGCCTAAAGTTCCATCATTATTTCTGTTTTTACTGTTTATTTTTACTGTATATGATGTATAAAATTCAACTTTCTACCGTAGATCAATATATCTTTTAGTTTTTAAAGATTTCCTCCGGGATTCTATCTCATCTATCTCTATGTGCACCACTTTACTTTAAGGATGCTTGGGCGGGAACACTATTTTTTGAATAGTGCCAAAAACCTTTTGCTTTTATATAATGATAGATGATAGATTGTTGTTCTTATTGGAAACTGAATAGTGTGAGGGCCCTAAACTTTAGATAGAGTATTTTTGGTTCCTTGGCTAATAGTTGAGAGACATGTGTTCATTAACAAAAAATCATATGAACCCCAATTATATAAATTATATAAAGTATCCCTAATTAATCGATGAAATTTGTAATTACAAATCAAAATAGGAATTAGAGAAAACCTAGATATCTCGTAGGAAGAACGATGAGCAGTGTGCAAAAGTTAATAGTCTCAAAATTAAAGGGTTCAAAATAAAAATGGTGAATGAAATTGTGGAGAGCTAGAGAAGAGGAAACCTGGCCATGGAGCTTGGAAGGATGAAATATGGGCATTTCTATTACACTAATAGAAATACGGTGTGAGCTAGCCCACCATTTTAGCATTTTATGCAAGTATACCTATGAAATACGATTAGTGGTAGATATATTTATGGAAAAATCAAAAGCTACCCCATTTTGTACCCTCATCCTATTTTTGTGGTTCACAAAAGCAATGAGTTAAAGTGGAGCAATTATTTTGTTGGGTTGGGATTTTGTGAGCCACTCAATGAGTGAGGTACAAATGGGTAACTAAAATGGGATATCTCTAGCATTTATCATTTTTTATAAGAACTAGAACCGAAACATTTATAAAATCTCACTAACCTAACTGAAATCTCCAAAGTCCACATTATTATGCGGTGATTTCGATTTAGTTTGGATCAGTTTTTTCTGTTTTATGGTTCAAAGTCTCGTGCCTATTTGAAAGACATAAGTCCTTACCTTTTAGTTTATTGTACTATTTAAAAAATTTATAAAAATATCTAATTGTATGTTTGGCATTACAACTTTTAAGAACTTTTTTAAAAATAAAACACTTTTTTGAGAAGCTACACTGAGTAACATCTAAGAAAAGTCCGTAGTTTTTTTAGCATTAATTAGTCGCAACAGTTTGTACAAAACTAAATCAAATAGTCAATTTTTATCAAATAGTTATTACGTTTTTTCTTTTAAGATCTTTTAGTCACTAAAAGGTAACCATTCTCTTAGTATCACGTTTCCGAAACGTTTCCCCAACCTGGCCTAGAAGCCCTAGAAACGTTTTCGGCCATTTTTGTGGTGTTTCTAGTCGTTTCCTGATTCTAATATTTTTCTGAAACGGAAACCTCAGGTGATTTCACGTTTTAGTGCTTCCTAGCTTTAGAGGAGCTTAACTGCTTAAGGCCCTGTTTGGTTGGAGGGTTTCAGAGGGAAGGGGAGGAAACTCAGAGATTTGTGTGTATTTGGTTGAAGGAAATAGGGGGGAAGAGAAGGAAAGTGAAAGACTTTCAAAATCATCTACTTCCTCCCATTCTAAACCCCCCAAATCGGGGTATTTCGGAGGAAACGTGTTGATAACCAAAAACTATCCGTCTCCTACGTGAATGAACAAAACGTTATAATATAAAAAGGAAAAAAACAAAACGTTTTGAAAAATTATAAAATTAAAAATTTAAAAATTTAAAGATTAGAAAATTAAAAAATTAAAAAAATAAAAATTTTAAGAGTTAAAATATTTAAAAATTATAAATTAAAAATTTTAAAAAATAAAAATAAAAAAATTTAAAAATTAAAAATTAAAAATTAAAAATTAAAAACTGAGAAAAGAAAAATTATAAAATTAAAAAGTAAAAAATCAAATAAAATAAAATTATGACTCATGACCATAGGTGTAATATTCACAATAGTTAGACATGTATCTATTTTTTTAAGTAAGCTATAAAATAAAGTAAATTGCGAAAATATTTTCATTAAACCTTACCTCCTATTTCCTCCAACCAAACACAAATTTTTATCAAAATCATTCCTTCCCCTTCCCTTCCCTCCTTGACTCCCCCCTTCCCTCCCCTCATTTGAACCAAACAAGGCCTAAGGGAGTGCTTGCATATCAATTAGTGAAAATACTTTCAGCATATCAATCAACATATATAATAGCCTTTTAGCATACAAATCAGCATATCCTCCTTATACATTGCAACATATAAATCAACATATTACAACATATAAGTCACTACAGAAAGCACTACAAAATAGCCCTGTAGTTTAGTCAAAACACTTGTATAAATCACCAATCCAAAGTCAAGCTAACAAACAGCATACTGCCTTCAGATTAACACATCCAAACTTAACCTAATAATAAACTACTGCTCCTGTGAATATACCATTATTTACTTCCTTGTATTACAAGGATGAACATAGTCATTACTACCACAACAATTACTATTACAAATGTAGTTAATGATCTGTAATCCCTCCTTTCTTCAATTTCATCTTTCAGTGCACTCTTAACTCACTAACTTCAAGATGAACACTAATAATTTGCTCTCTTAATTCAAAAAGCTGTCTTTAACCTCCGTGTTGTCCAATTCAGAATCTTTTCCGTTTGTTTCACTTTCTCCATTCCAATCAAAGAACCCACGGCCTGCTTCCTACAACAAATTATTTAATGAAAACATCAAAACATTTAATCCCTAATTATGAATGCAAAACTCTTTTTTTTTTAAAAAAAAATTAATGTAATTGTAATCACATACTTCGTAAATATTTGTAATTCTAACAATTTATTTAATCCCCACAAACGATTACATTTACCATATCACTGCTTCTAGAAAGATAGTAAATTCTATTTATCATCATAACTTCATGTAAAATGGAGTTATTTGAAGCCCCTTTGAAAGTCAAATATGATAAAACAATTCAAATTAAAGATACTAAACTCACTTACTTCCCCTACTCTTTTTGAAAACGTAGATGAATGAAGAAAGTCACACACTGAGCAGCGAAACGAGTATATCTCTCTCAATCTCGTCGTCCCCGATTCAATAAGAAGTGCTTATTAAACTAATGTGTACTTCATAATGAGACCTAGTTTATTTAACCAAAATCATGTTTACTTCATTGGGCTTAAAACGTGTCTTACATTTAAAATGCCAAAAACTCCAAGTGGTAACCTGTTCATTTTTTACCTTAGGACTGCATCCTTGCTCCTTATGTGCTAATCATTGTCTACCAAAATGTTTAGTGAGTACACATGTGCGCTCTTGGTGCAATGTAATTCCTGAGCTTGACTTCTTTGAACACATAATTGTCATTATAATGAAAATATTTATAATTGTCAAAATAGGACGCTCATACATCTCGGTGAGGTAACGATTGAAATTGTGAGCAGAACGATATTAGAGTGTATTCATGTTTAGCGAAATGGTTCACCTTTTACAATGGATATGTGTCATTTTTGAGATAGATATGTAGTGTATTCATGTACTTGTTTTATATATTGAGAGTTACATATCCCTTTTCTGCATGAGTGAGACCATACAACAAAATACCATGTAGATTATTTGATAAGATACAAATATCTAAAAAAAGATCTGTTGAACTATATTTTCACAATGGAGTGATCATAACTATATGATTGACATTAGTTATACTAATCATAAAAGATTTGTCTATAATATTATAGAATAATCATGATATGTTGAACTATATTTTCACAATGGAGTGATCATATTGATATTAGTTGTAGTGGTCATAAAAGATTTGTCTATAATATTATAGAATAATCCTCAAATGAAATGAGAAAAGATAGTGAGCACAAAATCCTTTCACAATGAACTAATTTCAACAAAACAAAAGGTCATTAGCTCCTTCACTTGAAATAATATACTCCATTGAACCTTTATATAATGAACGGTTGGTTATTTGAAACGCGATTTATTTGAATTGCATCCGCACCCCAATTCTCATTTCTTCTCACATATTAGACCGAAGCTTTTCTCTACGGCTCAAAGAGAGACAAAATGGGGAAAGATCTGAGCGACGATCAAAAGTCTTCCATGAAGGAGGCATTCACGCTCTTCGACACCGATGGAGACGGAAAGATCGCGCCGTCCGAGCTCGGTATCCTTATGAGGTCACTCGGGGGGAATCCAACGCAGGCCCAACTCAAAGCCATCATCGCCGACGAGAAGCTCAACGCACCCTTCGATTTCAATCGCTTCCTCGACCTTATGTCCAAGCACCTCAAGCCTGAGCCGTTCGATCGCCAGCTCCGAGACGCCTTCAAGGTTCTCGACAAGGACTCAACGGGTTACGTTGTGGTTTCGGAGCTCAGGCACATCCTCACCAGCATAGGTGAGAAGCTCGATCCGGCGGAGTTTGATGAATGGATCCGAGAGGTTGATGTTGGATCCGACGGAAAGCTGCGCTACGAGGACTTTATTGCTCGCATGGTCGCCAAGTGATTGCTCTCCCTGTGAGTTTATTAATCCTCTCCAATTCTCTCATTTGGCTAAGTATGGTTATAAATGCTCCACAATTTAATAATTTTCGCCATTTATGGTTACCTGCAATCTTTTGTGGTGCAGTGAAATGTACTACTTCGGATGATGTTTTAAATATTGGTAAGTTCGTCAAAATATTGGAATAAACATTCAGAAGCCCAGTGTAGGTCAATAGTTTGTCTATTTAGGTTTAATAAATATGCAGGTCAAGATGATATTGTGGATATTTTATTTTAAGAAGATTCCCTTTTAGCTTAAACTGGGTGAAAATGCAGTAAAATGCCAAACTTGTTTGGTGTGAACTCTGTAAATGAAAGTAGACAAGCTGCGGTATTGCAATATGTGATGTGTAACAGTTTGTGAAGATCCTTGTGCCAAGAGTTGGAGGCATAAGTAGGAGGGTGGGGGGTCATATGTAAAACATTCATATCTTTTCTATTGATATAATTTAGCCACAAATTATTCTTTCTATATTCGAAATCTTCAAAGATACTCAACTTTTTCTAAAATACTGATTCATCATTCATGGTATGGCCTCTGACCTAATGTGTTGTATGATTGGTTTCAAATATTTGTGGCTGTTTAGATTTCATGAAAAGCCCAAACAATCATTTGCAGTAAACTGGTGCACGTCCATTTTGATTTGTCACATTATTATACGGAGTATCTAACAAGACTACAGGATATTTCTTTCTTTTGCATTTATTTTGTGGCTAACAACTAAGAGCTGAGAACTTGAAAGATAATCAATTGTAGGGGCCCCAGGGGCTATATATGTGCTACTGTGCTCCAGGGCAAAAAATATATATAGAACATGAAAAGACCCTCAAGCCTATTACATCCTCTCATTTTTTAGACCCTCAAGACTATGGGCTTAAATAAGGAACAGTCTTACATGTGGGCTGTGGAACACGCTTCGCTAACTTCAATGGGAAAACTCTATAAGAACCAATATTTTGTTTTCAAAGACCTCATAAGAACTGTCATTCGAAAAGCTCTTATATGCATAATTCCTTATGAAGAAGTTCATGGATCCCTCAATTACTCTTTCCATCTTCATACCTTCATCTTATTACTTGATGCATTAAAGGCCGTTTGGTAGCCTTATTTTTCAATTTATCAGCCATATTAGATGTTATTTTAGCAAACAATGATCTCTTGATTGTGTGCAGTTGTGCATACCATGTGCCCTGAATTGAGTAATAACAAAAAAAAAGTAAGGTGCGTGGTACTTAGGTGAAATGATTGATGTTGGTGAAGGTGGACAGTTTTGGTTTCGCCTTATACGGAGTGCTTTTTTTATTTACTTCATTCAGAAAATGTATTTTATTTTATTTGATATGTAGTACGAAGTATATTTCAGCAATTTCAATTATGTCAACCATTACTTTAGCAATTTTAGTAGATTGAGCCACTCCCATCATTATAAGCCTTACAAATGAGTTAAAATAGTCTTGCGCTGAAACGTGGTTTAGTTAGGTTATAGTGACATTTTGTGTGCTCTTAACTCTTAATATGCAGGCGTGATTAGGATTTGGTGATATGTTGAGTGGATGGATTCAGTTCCAAGTTTGCTCCCTCCTAAACACTAGTCTTTTGCATGGCGTGCTGAAGGACATCTTCAAGATTGCTTCTTTGATGTTACTTTCAATTCTCTTTGTTTATCAATGAACAATTTGCAAGTTGCGGATGTTACTGTATTTGGATTTTAGTAGTATGACCTTCAATCTTTGGAACCATTAAAGCATGTGCATAATGCTTCAAACTCGAGCAAACGTTAAAAACTTTGTATCAGATTAGCTAGAATTTTGATTAGAATGAATTATAACATGCTTGACTTATTTGGGTAGTATTTGAGGTGAAATAATAAATAGTAGTAACAGTTACGAAATCATTTTTATTTAGTTAAAAGTGACTCAAACTAGGAGCCTATTTGCTATGACTAATATTCATTGAATATGTTGACTTTGTTCAAATTGTTAAAGTTGTGAATGAAAACGATTGAATGTGTTGAATTATCAAAAAATACAGATACATAATATATATATATATATCTGTGTGTGTGTGTGTGTGTGACCCATAGTGAAAATCCCGTCCAAAATTGCATGGACTGACTGCAGCTTCATGACAAAGAAGCGCAAACAGTTTAATGAGCCATTTTGCTTTATTCCATCATAATCTCAAGCCAAAAAATAATGAATCTTTGGCTCCATTGCAAATGATGGAAACAATAGAATTAATAAGGTGATTTATAAAAATACTTTATAACTTATAGTTCAACAAACCTAAATAAAAAATAGAACTTTATAGGGTTTATTATCAAAATAGGACTAAAAGTCACTCACTTTGCACAAATAGGACAAAAAACTAAATTATGTTTTCATAGGACTAATTATGTGTGTCTTGGACAAATATACTCTTCTAGCTATTGAAATGTTTTAATTCATAATATAATAATAAAAAATAATAAAAATTCGTAAAAAATACTAACAAACTAATAAAAATATTTCGATAATAATTAATTAATTAATTTTTTTTCAAAAAATAAAAAAATATTTTTTAAAAAAAAAAAATAAAAAACTCAAAAAAATAAAATAAAATTCACCGCTGCCTCTGCCGCCTCTGCACCACCACCACCAGTCATCGGGAAAAAAATGCCAAGTTCATTATGAATGCCATATTTATGGCAGAAAATAATGAAAATGTTGGCATTCTCAAAGAGAAATATGCCATATTTTTGGCATTTTCAGGAAAAAAGAACAGTTTTTAGGGAAAATGGCATTTTTTTCACCGCCCGAAGATGGTGGTGCAGGGAGGTAGTTCAGGCGGTGGGAAAGGCAACCATATTTTTTATTTTTTTTATGGAGTTTTACTGTTTTTTATTAATTTTTTAAAAAAATAAAAAAAATCTTTTTTTTTATTTTTTTATTTTATAAATATTTTATAAACTTTTTAATTATTTTTCTACGAATTTTTGATTTTTTTTCGAATTTATTATGAATTAATCATTTAATTAACTCATATTTAAAGAAAGTGTAAGAATGGAAGGAAAAAATAGGTATGTTTCCAATAGGATTAATTTGGTCCTATTTTGAAAAGAAAAACATAGTAAGTCCTATTTTGAGTTTTTGCCATTGTTTTAGTCCCATTTGGAGTAATTTCTACACTTTATAGTGAAACCATGAAAGTATGAGACAAGTATGAAATTACGATGAAAATAACTAGAAGAACTTGATTCTCTACTATTTTTTATATTTATTGACCCATAAATTCATTTAATATACTTCTTTGATTAACTATTTATTTGTCAAATTTAACTTACAAAGTCAAATATATAACTTTTATCAAAAGTATAGATCTATGTGATAAATTTAGTAAGTATAAGATACATATGAGACTACAACGAAACAATGAATAACATTTGATATATTTTTTATAAAGAAAACAACTCAATTATTATTGATAAGAGTAGCAAGAAACATAACAATCAAAAGTCGAATCATTACAATCACAGTGTTCAATGTCACACTAGGGTGAGGCAAAGAACAAAAAAACCATATAAAGACACTCTTGTTCACTAACCCTGCAACAATATAGACTCGTATGACAGTGTGACTGCTCATGCTGCTCGAAATAGGTATGATTTGTCCAGCCAACGAAAAAGAATTATGAAACTTGCCGGTTTCTCCAGCCGCCGATAATGAGCCAAGTGCATAAATTGTTCCTGGATCGGCAGTAGTTCAAGAGGGGAGCGATCGGCCACTATATTGATACAGAATAAATTTTGATTCATGATTGATAAAGAAGCCAATACAAGCCTCTCACTAGCACACAAGAACACCCGATCGATGATGACAGGGAATATACATCTGGTGAACGACACTTTGCCACCGAATATAGCATCTCTAGAAAACTCCAGGAAATAAACGTGAAGGTAGAATTGAAAATACCGATCAAACGAATTTTTTTTCATAATTGGAATCAAAAGAAGATTAAAAGAAGAGAAGAAAAGAAGAGAAGAAGAAAAGAAGAGGGGAGGCAGCTGGGTTTTCCCCTTCACCGCTCCTCTCTCTACGTTTTTAGGCCAACAGTATATGGCTAACTCATAACACTTGATATCTTATGTTTTTTTTATTTTTGGTGAGTCATAATGCATTCACGACATTTTTTCCCTAATTAACTATTAATTCATTAAACGTAACTTGTAAAGTCAAATATATAATTTTTACAACATTTAAATTACTTCATGCAAGGTAGGTCCAAATCTTACAATTTTTACAATTTTTTGAGTATGTTCTACATGAAGTGTAGACTATGTCCACCGGATTTCAACTTAAAATTCAATCAAGAAGTTAGATAAATAAATTATTGAAAATTGTACGATTTTATGTATACTTAAAATGCAGTTTTTTTCAATGATTTATTTAACTGACTTCGCGATTAAATTTTAATCTGAAATTTCATTGACATATTCTATACTTCGTGGAGATGATGCTCACAAACCTTCTGTAACACCCCCTCCCCGTAGGGCTTACGGTAGTTACTCCTACACACCCTCCAGGCCTCTAGTACTGTCCTCACAAACCACCTGAGAAACTTCCCGGGGGGTCACTCATCCCAAAATTACTCCCGTGAAGGACAGTACTGACCTCATAACTTGAAGTTCTTAGGTGATGAGCTACCTTAAAAGGAGATGCAACTTTGTTGTTATGAGTAGTATTATTAACCCTTTTAAATTAATCTCAAGTGTTACAATTACCCCTACTTAGGATCGCAATGTCCTCGTTGCGCCTATAAGCCAATTCAATCTCAATCATATCCCAATATCTTCCCTTACTAAGGGCCCGTCCGATATCCAACGGATCAGCACACTGTCGCAGGGTTGCTCTGATACCACCTATAACACCCCGTCCCGTAGGGCCTGTGGTAGTTACTCACACACACCCTGCAGACCTCTAATATTGTCCTCACAAACCGCCACTAGCCTTTTCCGCACATTTTGTCCCCACTCATGCACGCCCTGAGAAACTTCCCAAGACTACTCCCGTGCAAGCACGGTTAACTTGAAGTTCTTAGGTGATGAGCTCCCTTAAAAGAAGATGCACCTATGTTGGTATGAGTAGTGCTATTAACCCTTTTAAATTAATCTCAAGTGTTACACCTTCATATGAGTAGTGTTACACCTTCATGAAAGCACCTCAAATGAATGAGGCCTAAAAATTATAAGTACTAGACTTAAATTATGTGAACATTTTCCTATATATATTACGATTGTTCTCTTCAAAAGCACCACCACCTTTATTTTTTTGAAAGGAAAGTTATAAACAATATAATAACCGTCTGATATTAACCTTCCTCTGAAAAACAATAACCATAAGCCCATCGGCTTGCTCACTCCTTTATCAAACATAGAATAGTCCTTCCCAAAAAGAGCGAGACTAATCGCTGAAAATGTGAGCGTTCGAGGCTATTAACGGCTGAATTAGCCTGATTGCCTCCAAATAGATATCTATCAACTAAAACAAACCAAAACACCAACCTACCGTCCCTATTGTTTGTCATAAAATTAACAAAATAAAAAAAATAAAACAGTCTGGACTGAAAATAACAAAATAGAAATAGTAAAACAATCTTCCAAACCCTGACCGTACATTTCTTCCATGGCGGCGGTTCAGGATGGGGACGGATCATCATCTCTTCGCCTTCTTTCTCCATCACCTGAATCTGGAATTCTCCATGCCTCATCACCCGTCTATCAATCGAAAGTTGATCTCTACCCTTCACGTCCACCAAAACACCGCAGGCAGCAACCGACTGAGTCGACCATAACAATCCCGCCGATCCCCAAATCAGCCAATTGGATTCCAACTACGCCCCTTCACCGGACCCCAAACCTCCAATTTTCCAACCGGATAAACACAGTTGGTGCAATTTCCATCTCAATCATCAACAAAGCCAAAATAGTCAAACCAAACATCAGAAAATCAAGCCTCACAACCCTAGTCGACACAGGTCCATGACCCCTCCGACACCGCTGAACGCAATTGAAATCACGACAAACATTTTTTTTCTCCGACAAATGGCTAGTACCATGTTGTTTTTGAATGGCTCTTATCATGGCTAGAACATGGATTATGATGCTTTGCTTTGGTAGCTGGTCAATTGTTCGGGTTGGGGCTAAGGGATGGCAGATTGGGGTGGGCATGATGTTGGACTTAACAACAAGTGCGTAAGGTGACATCGGAAGCTCTGTTGATCTATCGATAGGTCATAAGGATCCTTGCCAATGGAGGAAGGAGTGAGGGTGTCGACGACATGCTGGTGTGGGTTGGTCCAAAAACTGGAAGGGACGTGTTTTGCAAAACCCACCTTGGTTTTGCAAGTTCAATCCCATCATGATTCTGTGGTGGTCTTTAATTCAAAGTATTATGTGCATGTTTGGTAGGCATGAGTCCGTACTTTCTAGCTTTTGTATTATTTAAAAAGTCATTCAAAGGTTCTAGTTGTATGTTTGACATAATAATTTTTAAAAGCTTTTTAAAAAATAAAAGGTCTTTTTTGAGATGCATGCTACAGTGAGTTGCATCTGAGAAAACTTTGTAGCGTTTAGTATTAATTAGTCCCAACAGCTTGTAAACCAAACAAAATTAAATCGAACACTCATCTTTTTATCAAACAACTATCACCTTTTACTTTTAAGATCTTTTCAGTCACTAAAAGCTAACAGTTACTAAAAATCTATAAAAGTATCTTTTCGATTTTTGAAAAGATAGTACCTTTCGCTGTAGAGGTTGATAGTCACCAAACATACCATATATTCAGTTTCTGAACTCGATATTCTTGTGGTTATTTTCGCTGTAGAGGTTTATAGTTCTTTATAAACCTCTACAAATTAAGTTGGATGATGAGAAGTCTCTTTATATCATATATCTTTGGTTCCTTTATGCACAATCTAGGATCTGCGAGTTATAGTTCTTTTGAAATGTGATTAACTCAAAGTCTCATTCAAGGGTTGGTGATCGAGAAGAGACATGTTGTTGTATTATAGCTTGTCTCAATTCTCGGTGTCTATTATGAGACATTTTCATTGAAAAAGCTTATATCCCGTACATAGTATTTAGAAAACTCTCAATAGCCGGAGGCGTAGCTCAATTGGTAGTAAGTATCTGGTTCTAATCCTGACAGCTGCGATAAGACGTTGCTATATAAAAATGCATAGGACTTCTGCAACTCTTTGATTTTAGTTCAATTTATATCCTTCCGGTTAACTATCTAGCCGGTGTTGAAACCCGAGGGATAGGTATATCTTTTTAGAAAAATTGACAAGAATAATCCAACATTTGACTGATCTTCTCATCATAATCTCACCTTTACGTAACGCATAATAATCTTACATTTGCACGTCATTTTCTTTCGTTGGACCCTAACCAGTTGATGACTTACTATAACGAGTTTTTTGTCTTTTCTTTAGAAACAAATAATCTCACCTTTCACAAACCTGCTCAAAACATTCTCATGTTTCATTTTTTCTTTTTCCTCCCTAAAATTTTCCGTTCTTTATTTTTATCCCTACACACTTTTCCCCATTTTTTGTTCTTATTTATTTTCCATACTTCTATTTCTCACTCTATTAAGAGAGTTTTTTGTACAATCTGCTTCCCAAATAGGTTTGTTGTCATTCCCTTTTTCTTCATCTATTTTTATTTCATTTACCTTTTTGTGTTTCTCTTCTTATTAAAAATCTTTTTCTTACTCTACTTTTTGTTGTATTTTCTTTTTATTTCCACTTTCTCCATTTTTTCTTCTTGTTACTTTTTTTTTTGTTTTTCTTCTTTCTTCTTCTTGCCCTTGTTATTATCTTAATTCCACCATCTATATATTTTTTCTCCTTTTTTCATTATAATATTTTTCTAAGTAGTCCACCAATTAATTCCATCAATTGTGGAAAATCTCTGTGTGATAAAATGATTAAGAAAAAATAAAATTTAAAGAAAAATACAATTTAAAGAAAAATAAAATATTCAAAAAGTATAAAGAAAAAAAAACATTAGGGAAAATTTAATTTTATTTTCCGCAAATGTTTTCTTTTTCTTACATTTTCCTGAATGTTTTATTATTCTTTCAATTTCATTTTCCCCTAATTTTTCATGACACAAAGTTTTTCTTGATGGGATTAGTGGGTAGACATACTTACAAATATATGATAATGCAGAAATAAAAAATATATATTGATGGTGGAATTAAGATAATAAGAATAAAAAAGAAGAAATATAAAAAAAGTAACAAGGGAAAAATAGAAAAGTGTCAATAAAAAGAAAATATAATAAAAAGTAGAGTGGGAAAAAATCTTTAATAAAAATACAACGATTAAGAAGAGAAACATAAAAAAGATAAATGAAATAAAAGTACAGGAAGAAAAAGAAAATGACAAAAACATCTATTTGGGGAGGAAATTGTACAAAAAAATTGTCTTAATAGAGCTCAAGATATAGAATAATAAATATGGAAAAGAAATAAAACCAGAAGGAAGAAAAGAGGAATTAAAAAGTGTCTAAATATACAACTGAAGGCCAAGTCCAAAAGGAAGTTAATGTCCTAAATCCGCCTAATTGAGTAATATACTCATGTCCCTTTCTGGCAGACGTACTCTCTATTTGTGTATGAAGGCTTCCCTAGTTTTTTATATTTTCTCTACTATTCTTTTTATCTATGATTTTAGTTTTCACATTTTGTGCAGCCATACTACATTTTCTTTCTTTTAGAAGTTGCACACTTACAATTAGATTATGAAATCTATCTACTTTGTTTTCTTCCAAAATCTATGGAGTTGTTGAGGAACGAAATATGGGATGAGATCTTTATTTTATGGCAAAGACATCTTAGAGTCTAAGTTTTGGTTGTGACATATTGTGTTTGAAACAGGTACCAACACTTGGGACAGGTTTGAACTTCACGTACACAAGAGAGTGATAGACCTCTTCAGTTCACCCGAAGTTGTCAAACAGATAACCTCAATTACCATTGAACCAGATGTTGAAGTTGAAGTCACCATTCCAGATTCTTAGTTTTTATGTCTTTAACAATTGATTTTCTAAATTTAATTGCTGAATGAATTTTGGGATTTCTGTTCACATCTTCTCATGGACTTGAAGGCATAAGTTTTTTATAGCATTGGGGTTTAGACAAATTTTGTTATTCAAGAAAGAACATATGTTTAAGAGGATATAGCAAATAATTATTTATATTAGCGCCATTTGGTTTTGGTCTATATTTCTTGTCTCTCATAATGTTTTTAGGTCGCTTGTCTTTCATTAGTTTCATTCCCCTAAATCTGGATTTACCATTTGTTGTTTATGCTCGGGAGCTTGTTTTCAGGGCGGGAAAAAGTGAAAAACAACATTTTTCTCGAGCATTGTGCTTGCGTTAGAAAAGGCTTAGAAAATAGGCCACAAGAAGTCCGAAACTACCATATTAAGGTTTGGAATGATTCCTGTTCAGTGTCATTCAGGCTATCAACAAAGCACTTAGAATAAGTGATTAATTAGTTTTTGACATGTTGATTTGCTTAAAATGAGATTTTTCCTCCCAAAAGGTCATGAATGACTAGTCTAAACTATTTCACTCGACAATGCTTAACATATCGCTTAAAAGTTACAACAACATATTTCATTTCATGAAGAACCAGCAAAACACCTGAATTACGACAACAATAAAAAAAGTTGTATTTCCAGCTAATTATTGGCCAAAACCTGCAATTAAAGGGTTTGAATCATTACAACCACTTCTAACCACTCTAAGGAAGTACTACCTCCGTCCCATTTTATGTATCTCCTTTGACTTTTGGCACAATTATTAATAAAGTGTCTAAAAAGGTAAAAGTTGTGATTGCGATTTGAATATAATAAAGTGAAATGATGTCAATCACATATTTCTTTCAAAAAGGAAAATGTGACACTTATTTTGGGACAACCCAAAAATGGAAAGTAAGATAGGTAAAATGGGACAGATGGAGTAATTTAAAAAAAATTGGGACAGATCAACTTTTGGAAAACTAATTCTGGTTCTTGAAAGTTGAAACTTAATTCTCAATATAATATAAATGTTTTTGCCGCCAACGAAAAAGAGCAACAACAACATCCAAGCCTTAGTCCCAAAAGATATTGGGATCGGCTAACATGAATCGATACATGATATCACAACCAAAAGGATAATAAAGAAAATAAAGATAAAAAAGACAAGCTATTATAAAAAGAGATGAATATACATAAATAAAAATGATAAAATAAAAAGGCTACAAATAATGCTTATATATTTAAGGATAAAAAACAAGGAAAAAAATGAAGGAAAAAGATTATACGAGATCACTCCTTCACGCGAAAACCCGCCTTCCACTTAGTTCTCTCCAAAGTCATGCCCTCATCCAACCCCAGAAGAAACATATCATTTCGAACTCCCCTAACCTGGTCTGTTTGGGTCTTCCTCTCCCTCTCTTCCCTGCCTCTTCTCCACACATCTCAACTCGTCTGACAGGTGCATCACTCGGTCTTCTACGCACATGACCAAACCATCGTAGGTGCGACTCCCACATCTTGTCTTCAATAGGTTCTACTCCCACCCTTTGTGTGATTGTCTCATTCCTCACGCGATCTTTCCTAGTATGCCCACACATCCAACGCAGCATGTGCATCTCTGCCACACTCATCTTTTGAATGTGACATTGTTTCACCGCCCAACCAAAAAGAGCACATGTATAAAATCAAAGCTATATCTCCAACGCTTTCAATAGCCATGAACAGAGATTATTCAGTGGGGAGGGGGTAAACCATAAGTTGTCACTATGACACCGTCCCCAAGCATGTTTACTTTTAGTAATTATGTAATAAACCTTGAAGGATGAGTTATGAATTTACGTAATTGTTAAACTTTATTATTTCTTTTACGTGAGTAGTAAATTGCATGTGGGGCCCACAGAGGGAACGGGGACCGCCCGGTAATTCCCGAACCACATATTATATTCATCTTGGTCTAGATTACATCTATATGGAGGTGAATATTTTAATTGGGCAATGGGAAGGGCATAGAGTTGACCGGTGGGTCAAACGAGGCCCAATTACCGGTATTGGTAATTTAGCGGATAACAACCCGAAATGAGTTTCGGAGACTCCTAAATTAATGTTGGGGAATGTACATCTATTCTAAAGGCCCATAATTATTGGGAACGCGTGATATATTTTATCCGGCCCGATAAAATAAAATATGACTTAAATAGTCCGAAAAATACAACTTTCGGGGCCACTTATACACATCGGGACATAATGGGATGACCTCCCACATAAGTGGGGGCCACCCCACGTTCTTATGTATTACAAATGGCCAGGAAG